TGACAGATTTTGATAATGCCAAACTGCCGTGAACGAGACAAGTTGTTGAATATACAAGGCGATAAATAAAGATGAGAAGAAAGCAAGAGAACAAGAGCTAAAAGAGACCAAGAACGAAGACCGTAGGTTTTAGTGCCGTTGAGTCAGTCACAATGTGATCAAGACCGACCCAAGCTTCACACCTTGGCTTTCTAGACTAATTGCATTAAAATGTTGTTTATGCATCATCAAAAATGTTTTTCACAAGTTTTAAATAAGCCTAAAACACTTGCTGTTCACCCAAACCAAAAACCAAGTCATCCGGCGTTCGGCTTTTAGAGACCGACTTTCGGCTTTCTGAAACCGGTGTTCAGCATTCGGTTATCGGCATTGGTTTTTTGGCGTCCGAGCATACCAAGTGGTTTTAAACATTTTATGATTGGTTTTTACTTCTGGGCAGCACATTTAAATGGTTCTCCAATCAAAACATCATGAAAACCACCTTTCGGTTTTGTCTTTTGGTAAAAACCACTCGTGTACTGCGTTGACTTGGTCAACCGTGGTTTTTACCTTAACGACGTGGTTTTCAACTTACAAATCTTGTTTTGACATCACAATACATGAAATAAGTGTTTTAAACACTTGATTTTTATTTTGGAGAACTTCACATTTTTCGGTCGGGTTTCAGCACCGGTCGGCTAGGCCATGGTTCAGGCAAAAACCATAAGTTTCTGGACTAGCCATCAACCCAGCGATTGGAGATATTACCCATCCATGGGTAAGTGATCCTTTAGCTCAGCTGGATTCCAGAACCAGGCCACAAAGCGTCCAGCGATGGGAGATATTACTCATCCATGGGTAAGTGATCCTTTAGCTCAGCTGGATTCCAGAACCATGCCACCCAGCGATGGGAGATATTACCCATCCATAGTTAAGCGGTCTTTAGCTCAGTTGGATTCCAGAGCCATGCCACACAGCGATGGCGAGTTCCACCCATCGCTGTCCAAGCCTTGGTTCAATATAAACACGAGGCAGAATGCCCCGACCCAGCGATGGGGTGTGTACACATTGTTGGTTACCCAGCGATGGGAGGATATACCCATCCATGGGTAGGCGTCGACCATTGTAAGGCATTTAAGCCTGACTCTTTCCTTGTTTGAAAGTCAACCTCCCACCCAGCGATAGGAAGTTCTTACCCATCCATGGGTAGGTGACCGTTGTCTTTAAAACTGAAGGAAAAATGGCTTACCAACGATGGGTAGTTTCATACATCGCTGGGTAAGCTGATTTCCTGCAGATCATGCTAATCACCCCTTAAATGTTTTGATCCGTTTGAGCCTACTTAGGCACTATAAAAAGGGGTGTTTGGGTTTGCATTACAAATCAATTCACTTTACATTACACATATTATCATTGCATTCAAATCACATCTTTTTCCATAGCTTTTTAGAACCAAATTGTGTGAAGTTTGAGTTGTTCTTGAGCATACATATTTTACTCAATATCCACTCTAAAAGAGAGTATCTGTTCTCGAGTGTTTTTAGTGTTGTATACACGTTAAGGAAAGCTTGCTTCTCTTGGTTGTACGAAGGAAAGTTATTTTCCTTCGGGTTGAAGTCTTGGAGTGCGGTATCTCCGAGCAAGTGTATTGAGGCTCGTGGGACTTGAGTTCTCATGTTGTAACGGTTTGTTAAGCACTCGTAAGCTTAGCGGAAGTAGTGTAGCTCGAGAGAGTCTCTCGGGAGACTGGACTAGCCACACGTACGTTGTGGTGAACGAGTATAAATCTTGGTGTGCTCCCTTTACGCTTTCTACGCTCTTTACTTTTCACGTTCTTACTTTATCCCTACGATTTTTATTCCGCGAAAATTTATAAACATTCTCGTGCCTCACTATTCACCCTCCCCCCCCCCCTCTAGTAAAGGGGCACTTATTCTAACACACTAGACATTTTTCAAATTAAATTTCCACCATCACTGGCTATTGTTTATGCAACTAGACACTATTCAAATACTACTAATAGAATAAAAAAGTTACTACATTGGGAAAGAGCATATGTTTTAATACTATTTAGTACAAATTACACTTTTAAATAGTCAAGAGTATGATTCTTTTTTTAACACACAACACACTTTTATTAAGCACCCAAGGCATACAACAAACCAAATACAATCACTCCCTGACATTCTACGACAATAGGTCTATACAGTACTATTGTTTCTACTCATATGTTATATCATTAGTATTCAGCTTTTTGTTTATATATCTAGTATGGAACCATATGTTCTCAGTTGCTTCATTCATTGTAGTGTTACCCTTCAGTTTCTTGTTCCTAGATCACCACACCTCATAACAAACTGCAACCCATATAGCAGTCCATATGCTTCTACTCTTTCTGCTCCCTTTGCTACTTACTACGTAGTACTTTACAAAAATCTCTGAAGTTACCTGCTTGAATTTTGCACCTTGTATTCTCCGGTGTTCTGCTGCAGAATTCCCTATAGAAAGGGCATTCCCAGAACAGGTGATTGACGTCTTCAATTCCTTGTTCACATAACATGCATTCAGTTGTAATTATAATAATACAACAACAACAACCCATAATAATAATAATAATAATAATAATAATAATAACAACAACAACAACAACAACAACAACAATTTATAAAAACAATATAAAAATACACTAAAATAAATTTTTTTAAAGTTTTCTTTAGGTTTTTCCATTTTTTTGAAGTTTTTCCAGTTCCTTCCAGTTTCTTCCATTTTCTTCCAGTTCCTTTCAGTTTCTTTGAACAGTTAACTCTTTTTTCCCAATCCTAAAGAACTAGCCCTACAAAGATAATTAGTGTGTATTGATGATTATTTACTTAAAAACATTAAATTCCATAAATCTCAACGGTTATTGCAACAATAAACTTAAAAAAGCAACTTAACATTGTTCTTCCGTTGTCATATCTAAAATTTAAATTCACTAATTCTTTAAACCCTTTATTCATACAGGAAAAAATTTTGAACTGTTCCCTTTTGATGACCAATAGGATACTCTGTATTAAAAATCGGAAGTTCTCAACCTCATACTCTTCCACGCACCATCACTTTTACACATAAAATCAGAATGAAAAGAGAAACCTCCGCCCCAAGTCGATTCGTCATCAAAATGGTTATGATGATGGGTTTTGAGTAGGGGTGGGCACGGGCCGGTCCGAGTCCAAATTTATATAAACCGGACTCGGCTTGTTTTTATTAAAACGGTCCGGACCGGAACGGGTTTTCAAAATTTTAAAATTGGAACCGGACCTAACCCGGCTTGTTTGAAACGGGCCGATTCCACGGGTCAACGGGTCCGAACCTGTCATAATACTTACATTCTTCAAAACAAATAGAAATTATAGAATAATGCCTTCAAAGTTCAAAAAAGAGGAATAAATGAAAAAAACAATGAGAAAGAGGGGCATGAGAGTAAAGTATACACCCCATGATCATCCAACAACAACAACAAAAAGAAGACAACCACATTTTGGCATTATAATGTCAATAGGTTTCAAAAAGTGCAAAAGTGACAATTTTCATGGCTTCCAAAAAATCCAAAAAACCTGCAAAAAACAAAATTTTAAAATCAACCATATTCCACACACAAAAATATGCAAATGACTTTTGATTCAATAATACACTTTTTTTCTAATTCAGTGGAAATTAGCTTCATTTATTGAACATGACTTATGCACTTCTGCGGTTCTGCACTGTGATTGGCTAGGTTGCACTGGGACGGGTGCGGGTACATATACGGGGACGGGGACGGATTCGGGAATCGGCATTTTTAAAAATTTAAGGATGCGGGGACGGCAAGGATTCGGCAACAAAAGATAATTAAAATATTAAGTATAAGCATGTAAATGTTAAAAATAATGTTCAAGTTAAATAATGTTACAATAGATGTTAAACAACTAAAATTAAATAAGTAATATCAAACTAAAATTTCTAGTAAAATTAGTTAAGTAATATCAAACAACTAAAATTAGCCAAGTAAATTTCCAGTAATATCAAACAAAGAAAAATTAATTAAGTAAATTGCAAAGTCAATTAGCCAACTAAAATGGGTCAAAGAAAGAATTTTGGTGGAAGAAAGAACTCAAGGAAGAAGTGAAGAACTATGGCTGGTCCGCTGGTACGTGTAGGGATGTAGGCCAGGACGGCGACCTCGCCGGAAGCTCTGGAACTGTGGACGGAGACCTCACCGGAAGCTCTGGAACAGTGGACGGCGACCTCGCGGCAACTTCTGGAAGTAGGGGTGTAGTGCAGACTAGGGCTAGTGGGCTAAATTCTATACCTAGGGGCTAGGGCTAGGGGGCTAGCCCATAAAAAATTTAATAAAAAATAAATTAAAATATGATTAAATGGCCCAATTCGTACCGGGTACGGCCCCAAATTCCTGATTCCGTCCAGCTCGAAGAAGCCGCCGAATCTTTTTCAACCAAGGCGTTTCCGATTCGCCAATAGCCGTCCCCGCCGGCGAATCTGTCCCCGCGTCGCTTCCGGAGCGGGAGGCGGCACCAAACAGCCGAACCCGTGCAACCTAGGTGATTGGAATATGGAAGGACCGAAAGAGTTACTAAAATTAATTGGAATAGGCGGATATACCGTATATTTACTAAAAAAATATTAAAAATAATATTAGTATTTAAAAAACGGTCCGGTCCGGGTCCCAAACAATTTCAAAATGAGGAACCGGACCGGCCCTAAAATATATAGGAACCGGACCGACCCGGACCGTTTTAAATTTTTGAAAAGACGACCCGGACCTAACTCGGCCCGAACCTGGCGGTTCGGTTCCGACCCGCGGTTCCTGGACCTGAATGCCCACCCCTAGTTTTGAGGCAAGGTTTAAACCTCGAAAGCCAACTTTTATGACCCGGAGTATTTGGAAATTAAAATTCACAAACTTGCCTTTTTAACGCTTTCCTAGAAATAAAATGCACTCAAATAATAAATGATATTTTAATTTAAAATCCACAAAAGGAAAGTTTGTGAACTATATATTTGTGACTCTAGCATTTTCCTTCGGAAATCATTTCGTGACTAGATCATAATAAAAACAAAACCATCGTAATATCTGTAAGTACACATTCCACATTAGAAGCTTTGGTTGAATTGTCACTGTCATTCGTACCCTCCTCAGAGTGGCAGCATTTCTGATGTCTGCAAATCCCTTGGGTTCATGGAGAGAATGCAGAGCCACTGGGGAAGGAAAAGATACATGCCAAGAAACACGAGAACCCCTAAATCGGCTTCTTCCCCAACCGGTGGTCGACGAGGGCTCACCACGTATATTTGGCTACCACACCATATGCAGTACAAGATTGAGACTAGCAGGATCAGTATAACACACCGATAGTGCTGTTTCTTGAGCTGTTTTTGAGTGTTCACTCTGCACCATACCATGCAACCATGAACCGGAAAAAAATAAAAGGACAAAGTTAACAACCAGTTCTTTTGGCATTGATGTCCAATGTCATAATATAACACTAGTCTATTTGAAATCCCTACAAACTCTGTTCGATCCTAAACGGTTTCCCCCAGGTCCCCCTTCATTTGGGTGAAAGTGGATTGTTGCACAAAGAAGAGGGTTGGGATTTGAAGGGTGAGAGCTTTGTAGGGGCCTCAAATGGGCCCAATGTCATATTATGACATTGGACACCAATGTCGAAAGAACCAAGGTGTATAAACAAATAGGTGTGTTTGACGTTTGAATTGTCAGCAAAAAAGGCCTACCTGTTAATGTACATGAAGCCGCCAATCAAGAATATGCACAAAAGGCTAAGTATTACAACAGCATCCGGGTTAATGGGAGCTCGGCCGTCCCACCAACCTGTGCTCAGTATCCAAGTATACATGGAAGAATGCCCATTTTCCTATTTTGTCAGAATGTTTAGAATAAACTACTCATATGGTATAAAATAAACATGCCACAACGAAAGCCAAGTAGAAATGTTTTACACTATGTTTGGTTCATGGAATTTGAAAAGGAAAAGATAAGAAAAAGAGAGGAAAAACAATTTTTCTTGGTTGGTTAGAAAAGAAAAGTTGAAGGACAAGAAAATAAAAGAAGAAATGAACTCAGACAAAGAAAAACAACATTCCTTCCATTTTGAAGAGAAAAAGAGGGAAAACATCTTTCTTTTCTTTTCCTATCGAATTCCACGAACAAAACATAGTGTTGGTTTTTCACATTGGAACCACATTGAAGCGGTCATTGATGCCACAGACCACAGTTCTTCTAAGTGTCAAATAGTCTTTCTTATTGGGTGATTTTCAAATGCACATACAGATGACAACAAGGGAACTTGGGAAATGCTTATGGTTATGCATATAGACCAATATTTATTTCGTTCATGAGCTCACCCAAAACAAACACTTTTCACCTCATTGGCTTCGGCCAAACTTAGTTTTTCCTCGGATTGATTGTGCACGTAACACTATCCAAAACCCGTGTTCATGAAACTTGAACCATCAGTTTGGATATAAACTAGAGTCAGAGGGAAGAAATAGTAAAGAATAGACAATAAGTCATCAATTCTACATAAGACTATTGATGTTTACCAAAAAAACTCCAATGATCCTATATGTGTTGACCAAATATTCACTATTCCTCACACCATCCAAAAATTTATGTTAAATTCTTACTCCCATACATCCAACACTCATGTAAAAAAGATTTTAATCATCATAACTTATGAAAAATTAGTTTAAAACATAAATTCAAATAAAAATAACACAATGGCTAATCCAATCCAACAAACCACGAACTAAAATGATATAATTGCAGTTAAAATGTAATCAGAACTCGGAGGTGAGAAACTTCACCTCAAACAAATGATCCAAGAAAAAATGTGATATAGAACCCGCAGCCACTAACAAAAAGCATTGTTTCATTGTAAGAGGCACCTGCAACACAAGAAAAATCAGATACAAAGTTATGGGAAAAGCTAGTTCTGATATCATGATAGAATAATAATTTTATTCAGCTTGAATTTGATAGGATCATAGGAGTACAATATTTATAGAGAAACATTTATTAGCGAAGCAACGTTTTAAAAATTGTTAGTGTCATCCCACATCGGAAATTCAAGAGCAAAACAATCGGTGGTATATAAGCTCTTGAGTTGAACTAAGTAATCGATTGGATTCAATCTTTTAATATGGTTCAACCCAAGTGTCTTATTACCGAATTCAGTTGTCCATACCCATCCTAAATTCTATCAAAAATGCCTAACTTTAGCGTTTTCAAAGTTAATTTGCACAATAAGCAAATTATCCAAAACACTAACATTAATCATTTTTAATTTTAATTTGCACCATTAAAAAATTGTTCTAATCATTAACACTAATCACAAATGCTGTTTCCAATCAGAACCTGTTACAGACCAAACGGAAGAACTCAACTCAAAAGACTAGTCTGATAGGTGAGGGAACCCATTTGGCCTATAAACCCCACATCAATTGCCCATACAACCGATGTGGGACAAGTCTCATACCTTGCAATGGTTTCAGTCCATAACATTCGCCCCTCCTTAAGGACCAACGTCCTCGTTGGTCACGGCCACGTTGGTCACGGATGGCTCTCTCCAGGCCACCACTCCGTGGGCCACCACTCCGAGGTTGGCTCTTATACCGACCAAACGGAAGAACTCAACCCAAAAGACTAGTCTGATAGGTGAGGGAACCCATTTGGCCTATAAACCCCACAT